AAAAATTGAATTTTGCTATTCCTCTTAATCAGCTTTTATCACAGTGATAAGGATTTTTGCCTCGAGCACTATTAGAAGAGCATATTCTTTGAGCTATACGAATTGAACAAATCTGTTGGCATATTTACAATTTTTTAGAAAAAGGAAACGCTGCGGGCTTACGGACCAATCTAGTTTTTAGCCTAACTAGTGATTTCTGAAGATTTTTTGAAATCAATTTGGCATCAATACCGCACAATTCTGGTCTGGTGGTGTTGGGTTGTCATACTTGAGGCTGATCGACAGTCTATTACCACCATATCAAAGCAGTCAAGGTGACCTTTCCCATAATAGAGCGCCAAAGATGTCCCTCAGTATCATTCCTGTATGTGCAATCTAATCATGGGCCAAGAATAACCTATAAAAGGGTGACTGGTAGCCTTATTAGTTCATCTGCTAGCAGAATGTCTCCTCTCTTCTGTTTCTTGGCTTTGTTCCTCGCTGTGCAGGTAAGTCCAAATCGAATCTCCTTTTATCGAATTTTCTAGTTAATTTCCAGAATATCGATGCAGAGCGTCCAACTGAAGTAAGAGTGATAACCAATCAGTTGTTCCATCATCTCTTGAACAACATGCATATGAAAGTGTTTAGAAATATGGTAAGTATTTAAGTAAAAAGAATTTGAGTTTTTAATTGATTGATTTTAGCTGGACGAGTACCTCGGAACTAAAGGTATCAATTTTGCTCAAGAGGAAATTCAAGAGAGAATTGTGGACGAGAGAGGCATGTTTGCTGTTCGCTACATTCTGCGTGGTTTTGAATGCAATGAGGTAAGAAAATATTCAAATCTATACATAAATTCTCAAAATAGGACAGATCATTATCAAATGATATTCCGGTCGTATCTTTTTATATTAGAGTTTTTTTTTCAGCTGGTCGAACTTGCACGTGATGGCAAAAGCAGAACAGACTTCGTATCAGCCGTCAAAATCAAGTGCCCGTGCAAACCCGAAATTGTGATTGATTCTACGAACGTGAACCAGTATCAAAATATGAATCAATATCAAAAGAATCACTATCAAAATGCGAATCAGTACCAGGATATGAATCAATACCAA